GCACGTTTACTTTTTGCGCTTTTCACAAACCGCAATCCATTCGACTAATCGAATGATTAATTGAACATTCGAAAACCTAATTGCATACCAAGGTATTTCCTCTTCAACTGAATTAAGGTTACTCAATCTGACCTTCCTTTTTTCTCGTTCTACCTCAGAGGTCTCGTAAGCCAAATGGTCTGGTGGCCAGTTGGTATTAGGTTCCAGGAGCCAGGATGGACCCTCCCACCAAAGAGAATCTGAAAATGGACGAGGGAAACTGCCTCTTGAAAGCATATCTGCCGGGTTTAAATCACCTGGTACATGGCGCCAACACTGAGAAGGAATCAGACTGTTTATTTCTTTTACTCTATTCGCAACGAACACTGACCAATCACCACGGTTCGTAATCCACCAGAGTGCTATCATAGAATCACTCCATGCAATAATTTTCAAATCAGGCAAATCTAAGGCAGCGTATACTGAGTGTACCAGTCTTGCACCAATGCAACAGGCCATCAATTCTAGTCAGAGATTTTAATGGCGCTACCCTGGATTTGGCTCTGATCAGTCAAATTTTGACTCCCACGGGAGGCATTACAGTTCTAATGTAGACACATGCACCATAGGAGCTCTTACATGCATCAACGAATAGATGTAGCTCTGAATTCTCATTTATCTCTACATATCGTGGAATACTAATTTTCTCAAGATATTTAATTTCATCCTGCCACTTCTGAAAAGTTTTCTGAATGTTTGTGGCAAGGGGTCCCTTTTAATCCCATTTCAAAAAAAAAAAAAAAAAAAAAAAAAAAAAAAAAAAAACAAAAAAAAAAAAAAAAAAAAAAAAAAAAAAAAAAAAAAAAAAAGTAAAAAATCCAAGTAAAAAACTTCCTGTAATAGTAACTTAGGTAACAAGAAGGTAGTTGGACTCAAAAACCCTGCAAATCAAAAATTTTATGTTCCATAGCCAAAATATTACTTTTTACTTATCTCATTATCCATTGAATAATTAAGATTACATTTTAATGTATCGTGATCCAAATCCCATAAGATTCCAAGAAGAAAAGTTATACCTGAACTGCGGGAAATACAATGACCTGAAAAATTACTTTCCCAAACCCGTAGGTTAAAACATCCCCGAGCCATTACTTCTGTCGCCTTAACTATAAAATTTTCTTGCTGTTTGATATCGTGATCCCCAGTGACACAATTGTCAACACAAACGAATGCTTTAATTTTTGGGTCACATCGACAAATTCTGCAAGGAAATTATCCAAGAGATGCTCAATCGATACAGAGAGTTGGAACAGAGACAAACAAACGCCGAACACCACTCTGCAGTGTCTGTAAATCATAGGTTCTTCAAGAGTTGGAAGAAAAAACCTCAAATAATCTCTATGTTCTGGGATAATACTCAGCTGAAGAAACGCTTTCTCTATATCCGATTATAAACCAAAGGAATACAATCTAAACCTTTCAATTATATCAGGTATGAGTTCAATTAAATTCGGCCCTCTATTTAAACAATCATTTAGGGACAGTTGATGTCTCTCTTGGGCTGAAGCGTCGAACACTGGCCTTACCTTCATTGTCTGGCTAGTATGCTTTGTAATAGGTCTATGGGGCAAATAATAACTCAAATTATCAGTTTCAGGAACCTTTTCTATTACTATTAGGTCTTCTCATTGCTTAAAAACAACTTTATAGTCATCTAACTGATTTTCCTGATTAATTCAGATTTCCTGATTTCCTGATTTTCCTGATTAATGATTCGTTGACACATTCTTTGATGCCTTTTAAAAGTCATAGACTTATTGTTAGGTAACAGAATTTTAGATTTAAAGGGTAGTGGCAATTCATCGTGGTTAATCTGGAAAAAAAGCTAAAAACGGGTATAGGCAAAAAAAAAAAAAAAAAAAAAAAAAAACAGTTTATTCCAACTTTGAAAAATCATTTTATATACAATAAAATAAAAATAAACAGAAGAAAATGTTTAACTAACGCTTAATATTTTAGTATATCATTCAAAACTAACCTAAAATGCATTTTGTTAATGAAAACAGAAAAGTGCTATGTATACTTACGAGAGGCGTCAAGGATATACAGAAAAATTATATACATGTGGTAATACTGTTTTAATGTATTATGTAATTACAATAATGTAACTGTAAACAATAACTGTAAAACTACACCTTTTTGAAGAAATCATCAGTCATTTGTGTTTACTTCTTGTTTTGGAAGCATTTTCTCTTGATCCGAGATTGCATTTTTCGTAGCATAAGTTTCTCAGCCAATTCCGCTTCGTCTTGTTCTTCCAAATAGCTCAGCAATCCGTCGACTTGTTGCAAAGCCGCTTCGTGAGTCTTCCGCATCTGCACAGTGGGCTCTTCTTCGCCTTCACTTCACTGTCCTTCATTCTTGGTCACTCCACTTGCTTTCTTCACAATTTCGTCATCTGTCAAGTGTTCGAAGCCAGGTCATGGACCTTATAAGAGATAGACTAACCCAGTGGGCGGGGTGCGCGTTACCGACATGTCGGCAAGAAAGAGTAGGGACGATCTGGTTTACTTTAACACTGAAACCTATGGTGTTTGTATCACATAACTCTTTTTAATTATTAAATGTGATACATTGTATAGTGATGAGATTATGAAAGCCACAGTTTTTTCCAAATAGGATTTAATATATCTCATTAAAGCACTTTTTACTGCATTTCGTGCATTTTTTTTTCACACGTAAGTCTTGTACAAAAATCTTTACTTTGGTAAAATGGTAAAAACTCTAAGCACAAAATTTATGAACTTAATTCTGCGTAAAAATAAAGTAAAATTAAATAAGATTGATAGTACGCGATGCTTTTAAATAAATAAGGTAAAATTAAACAATATCTGATCATTTTTTTTAATTTAATGAACATTTTCAGGCAGTGATTTTTCCAAACTATAATAACATTACAAAATGATCATATTTATTTGATTATATGATCATTAAATTATTAACATTAAAGTGGATTAGTTATTTTAATAATTCATAAACTTCGGAGCATAAAATTTTCTGAGCGTAATGAAGGAAAAAAAAAAGATAAAATAAAATCTAAAAGTTAAAAGAAAAAATAAGAATAATAAAAAATAGTCCAATCAAATGTGGCGTTCCTTCTGTCGACTTCACACAGCCGTTACATAATCGTCTGTCTGCAGCAGCCGTCTCCAACATTATGTGTTGCCTCACCATGCTAGTATAAATCCAGCTTAAGTTTGAAAACTAGTAGTTAATTTAGTGTGAGTTTGTGTGCATTGCATTGCTCAGTCTTATAAGGCTGCTTTGGATCTGAATACCTTTAATGAATGAGGGTGCTGTTAAAATGGATTGGTCACCATTCTCATCTGAAATCAGTCTTATTGAGCACGCAGTAAACCTTTACCGAAAACTGGGATTACGTCATTAACACTCTATGTGTATGGTAAAAGTACATTCTCTAACGTTTAATTTTCTGTGGAGAAAAATTAATTAGATATAATTCAGATTAAGAAAGTATGCATAATTTATGCAAACCTAAATGTCATTGTATAAAAGGCAAAAATTAAGCAAATGTGAATTGAAAGGGTTTCTATAAATGCTTAATAAGTAGGTATATGATGAAATTATAATTTTTAAATAGTGACTTTTGTTTAAGACTATGTCTGATTCAACTCCTTAAATGTTTTGTGGCAGAAGTTCTTCCATACCTCTCATAAAGATAATCTGCCTTTTCTTTCTTCATTCAGGTCATTCTCCATTACAAATTCAGCAGTGCCTGTGCTTTTTTTTTTTTTTTTAATTCATGTAATATTTTATATTTTAAAGGCTTTGTATCTTCTTCACTGTCACTGCTTTCACCATCCATAAGATCATCTGATTCTTCATTTGTGATTTCATGATTGTCATTCTTGACTAATTGTTTGATTTCTCTTTCTTCCATGTCTGAAAATCTATTTTGTTCCCATGTGAGTTTAATGATTTCTATGCAGTGTCTTATATTAAAAGCTTCCAAAATGCCATTAGTGTGTTGTGTTTTCTTCATCTAGTCCTTCAGTTGCAGAGATGTAAATATACTTGACATAATAGGGAATGTTTTTATGATTCTTTGATTCATTGATTTTATTAAGGAAGTAGTTTTCAGTGGAAGGAATAAAACTATTTGGAAACATTTGTATACAATGTTGTGAGGGCTGTGTGTCCTGGAGCAGTATCAAGAAATAGAAGCACTGTAAAGCTCTGGTTTTGCTGTTCTGAGTAAGTTTGATTTATTTAATGAATGAGTTTTCGAACCAATGATAGAAGAGGACTATGGCAATGTGGCTGATGCTTTGCAGAATACCACATATGATTGAAATCCTCACATTGGACAAATTGAATGGAGGCAGTAAAAGCAACACATATGTACAAAATTGCATTCTGCAAGGGTTTACTGTATCTGAAATATTCTAAGTTGATGAGTTTTGGTATGATAGCTAGTACATTCAATCCTTCTGGAATTGAGATCTGTCCTCTTTGAAGAATGGTGTGTAATACTAGACACTTTAGGTAATAATATGGGAAAGTGTTATAAATTATGTATTTCAGGAGAAGCTCATTCTGTTAAAAATTAATAGCTTGAGTAATACTTTCTTATATATCTTGGTTATACTTTCTTTTTTGTTTTAATTTTGTGCATAGTTAGCATTAATAGAAATGTTTTAGTACTACTCAACTTATGAAAAGTTTCTATATCTTTTAAATGCTTGTTTACAGTTTCTGCATTTTTTTTTAACTTGTAATGAAAGTTTAGTTTAATTTTGTTCAGTAGTATTTTAGAAATTATTATGCTAATTTATTATTTAGGAAATATTAGTAAATGTAGCATGTTTATGCGTGTTATTGAAAAATCCGTAATTTTGAAAAATGAAAAAATAGTAAAAGTTTTTTTTTAATTTTTATAAATTTTCATTATTAAAATCAGCTTATATTTTATAAATTTAACTTTATTTTTCTCTATTTAGACGTCTTACATGCCCAAATTATGCAATAGGTTGTGGCTGGAGAGGAAAAGTGTATTCAGGCTTTAAGCATGGATTGAAATGCAGTAAATCTTCAGATGTTGGTTATGATATCTTGCGGAGTTTATCAACTATAGATGGGATGCATAAAGACCAAATTGATTTGCATAATAAACTAATGGAATTGCTGTCGTGTGAAAAATTTACTCATTGTGGTAAGTTATAAATTCACATACTTAAAATATCTTTTCAATCCAACAAATATCTTTAATTATTTGTATGATTTTATGAGCCTTGTTCTAAATTTTTATGATGAATGCATTGTAAGTAAATTCTACATATAGGTATAGGATAGTTCTGTTAAAAGAGAAAATGCGTGAGTTTTTTAATTGAAAAAATTGTGCTATAATATTAACTATCTTTCAAATAACAAATGACATTGCATTAGGTTGAGTGAACTGCATATTAGATAACATTATTCTATTGTTGTTTGTTAATCTGCATGTCTAACTGATGTATTACTGAGTAGTATCTGTTTACATAAAGTGCTGTTATTTTTAGTTTTAGGTTGTTTCTACTAAATATATATTAGAATGCTTAATAAAAACCTTATAAAGTAAGATGCAACTTATCTATGTTCAAGTTACCACCCCTCCTAGGGGTTGACTTAGAGAACTCTGCGAAGCTACTGGCTAGGATCTGTACCTAGGCAGTCTCGGCCACAGGGGTATAATATCACGAACCTGGTAGTTCCAGAACTCAGGGTTGGGTCGTCTGTATGATCTGACCTCGGGGGATTGCGTAAGTCATAGAACAAATGGTTGAACAAATGGGGCAGCACCACGGTGTTGGATGGCACCGAGTTTGCTAGGTAATGTCTTGATGTGACGCGTTGCCCGTGTAGTACTGATGGTAGCAATTAACGATCAGTCATGTACATCAGGTGATCAGGTCACACCTCTACCAAAAAGGCGAAAGCAGGGAGTGGTGACCCCTCAGGCCTGGCCTAATAAGCAGAGGGTTTTTGAAATTATTTCCTCTGTGGCTAAGAGCCGGTTGGATCCCGGTTCTCCAGACATAAGTGAATTCATTCAAAACTCCCAAGTTGGATTTTATAAATGAGCTGAGACTAAGTTTTTTCCACTGAGTTTGTCACCCAGTACTTCAGCCCACTGAGAGAGTTTGTTTATGGCTCAACCGCTGTTGACCTGCCCCTTGCCTAATATGGAAGTGTCTCAGTTAGGGAAACAGTTCCCTCAGTTGCGTAACTGATCGCAGGAGAGGTGTATAAATTTTGATTGATTGATATTCAAGTTAGAATTTATTTTACACAAGTTACTTAAGCACACAGGGTATCTGTTTACATAAAGTGCTGTTATTTTTAGTTTTAGGTTGTAATGAGCATTACAAGATTTCTAAATCGAAACTTACAGGAGTATTTTACCGCATAAATCAGAACATCAAGCCAAGAGAATCAGTGTACTCTGGCGACACCGCTCTGCTTTCTTTTCTCCTCGAGACGCATCACCACCTGTTTTCCATTGTCTTCACCCGAAGCACGCCTTTCAAGAAATATAGTCTGGTGAGATTGCTACAGGCAGCCCTCCACCAGCGGTAGTGAGATTTTAGCTATACATATATAGCTATTTGAGCTGTAAATATATATTAAGTTGAAATTAAAAAACTAAACAGAATGATTCTGCCTGGAAAAGGATATTGTCATAAGAAAGCTTCACCTCCTCTTGACAGATTAAGGATCTGAAGATAATAATAAGCTTTTTATGATTTATTGTCATTTTTACGACTATACTTAATTATGATGTAGAAAATGTTATTTTGACTTCATTTTTAGTTTTAATTTGAAATACCATAAAATTGCTCAATTTTTAATATATTGTTTTCTTTTTTCTTTTGCCTGTTTTAATTTTAACTTAATACATTTACTGTGTATGTGTGATCTGAAAGCTCCAAATGAGAAGGATAAAGAAAGATGTTTTAAAGGTTATATAGGTTTTTTTTTTAATTACCATTCTGTTACTAACTATGGCCTTATATATATTCCAAGTCGTCATGAGAAGCCCATGACGTGAAGACTTTTTACTTTTCTAACATAGTTCCTTTACTCCCTTTTCAACTTTTTTGAAATTTAAAATTTTAAATTATAAAATTAAAAAACTAATATTCAACTTTATAGATTTTTTTTAACTCATATCTATCTAACAATTTTTTAAAGACTATTTGATCACTTTTTGAGCAAAATTTTTTAGTCTTTTTTTTTAAGGATTAATTGATATTAAAATTTAACTAAGTTTTACACTATAGTATAGTATTCTGTATTCCCATTTTTGTTTTATGAGAGTTAGAATTTATTTAAATTTCATTCAATTAATATGCAATCTTTTTCTTTGACTAAAAAATAAAAATAAATTTTCATTGAAATATTTAAAAATTTTTCTTTTGGTTTCAAAATTACGTATTTTGTACAAAATTTTAACCTTTTTTTGAGTGATTACTTTCTCGCCAAGGTTTTTTAGTTTTGCCAATGAAGCCAAAATGGCAAACCTGTATGTTCCTACTGTTTCACATCTCATGCTCAAAGTTCTTAATTACTTCTTGTGTGTTCTAATTAGGTTTTTTCCAACTGTGTTTAAAAAATTCACTCCCATGTTAATTCATTGGGTTATCTGTTTAAAGGTAAACATTTTGATTTAAAAATTTTTCACTTTCATTTTCAGTTCTTTTAATAAAATAGAATTCTATTCTAATTATCTAGTTCTTATTCTAATTATTCTAGTTAGAATTTACTTTGTTTTCACCTTACGTTGGGCAAAGGGTTAGAATTTTGGTGGGGTGAACTATTACTAATATAATTAAAATACACTAAAATGGTTTCATCGGCTAATTCTGGATACAGAAAAGCAAGGATTTTTGTAGAAGAGAGTTTCATTTGATTACACAGTCCCCCCCCCCCCCGATGAAAGTAGCATTGAAGTTGATTGAATTCCTCTTCTGTTTTTGTTCATTTTTCACTAAATTTCTTTAATTTTTTTAAATAGGGTTTTGCTTGTTTGAAATGTTTTGGTTTTAACCTTTTTAAATTCTTTTTTGCAATTATTTGCCAATTATTAAATATGAATTTCAATTTTTGGTCTTTGTGAAATATTGGTTCTAAATTTCTTACTTTATGTCTTTAATGATAATGTTTCTGCAGCTTAAAGCACGAAAATACTAGGCATGCTTATACAGTACAAAGACCATAATCCGGATGCCCATTATCTGAAACGATCTATATAATCCAGACCTCAAAGCCACAAACTTTTCTTTTGTATCAGGGTTCGTAGCGGTCCTTACAAGTGCTTATTAAGTCCTTATATTTTAAAATGAAATATAAAGGCCCTTTATAGGTGCTTACTTTTTTTAAAAGCCCTTATTTTCTGTTTTTAAAGCCTTATTTTTTACTTTTAGTTTTTTTTTTTTTTTTTTTTTTTTTTTTTTTTTCCTTTGTTCTTAGTGCTTTTTTTTTTTAATCCTTTGTTTTTAATGAACGCACATTTTTTCCCCGTACCAAAGCCAAAAACTAAATAAACAACTTTTCTTCCTTATATGCAATGTCAGATGGTGAATCATACTCCCGGAAATTGCTTTTCCCCCTTCCTCTGCATTAACGTAACCTATGGTGTGCGCGAGAGTACAGACAGGTGCACGTCGTTCTATTGGCCAAAGAATTGAAAACGGTAGAAAATTCCGGTACATTTGGTATTCTTTTCCTCCCGTCCAAATACTGCACACGTTTGAATTTTTATCAAGATTTTAATAATTTGCGTTCTCGTTCCACATGGTCAGTTCATATTCGTGTTTATTATGATCGTTATGCTTATATTATGAGCATATGTATGAATGTTTATAATAATATAGTTGCAGTAATTGCTGAAGTATAGATAAACTTCCAAAAATGGGTGTGTTTTTACACAGATTAGCTTTCTAAGGAATAATATTCGGAATGGCTTAAATAAAAGGAAAGTAATCGAAAAGTCAAAATAATTTCATTTTCTTTGCCAATACATTATACAGTACGGAGGTTGGGAGTTTCTCCACAAAATCTCTAATATTGAAGCAACGGACTTTTTTTTTTTTGGGGTCACTGTCCAATCTGGATTGAATAGGACTAAAAGTTTTTGCGGTCTACCCAATCCCAAGCGAAGATTGATTCTATTCCAGGAAATTTAATACAGTTCTGTTGAAAATTAGAATCAGAAACACCCCAGATTAGTAAATCTCTCTTTTTTTTTTTTTTTTTTTTTACCTTTAGTTAGTTTTTTATTCTCCGAATACCAGCAGGTGTTGATTCCGATTGCGTAAATATCACATATGGAAGAATTATGCCACACGTATTGCACGTAATAACGTTTGCGGTATTTTGCAGAGATAATTAATTTTGATGTTTCAGTCTGAGATTTGTTTATGAACACTTAATCTGAGTTTTAACTGTGCTTTCTAAGCAGAATATTTCTCAGTTCCGTTGGTCTGTTTTTGTATGATGCAAGACTACATGGTATGACGAAATGTTTCATCATGCTGGGAAGACTATTTCAATGGGTATGATGAAATGTTTTTCGTCATGCTGGGAAGACTATTTCAATGGGTATGACAAAATGTTTCGTCGTGCTGGGAAGACTATTTCAATGGGCATGACGAAATGATGAAATTTTTCTTACATTTTTTTGCAATCTGTCACTTGACCGTTGTTCAAGAAAAATCAATCAATGGAAACACTTGTCCTCTCATAAATTGTGATAACACTCCTAATTTGCACAACTTAATTTCATTTTAGTCTGCATTTCAGTATTTTACATATTAGTAATAACTTGTTGATTTGAGTAATTGTTAGTTTTTATAAATATGGCTAAAAATTATTGTGAAGCAGAAAATATTTTTGAATTGCCTGAAAGTGACGATGAAATATTGCCCGGGAGATTTGGTAAACGACGTCGAATTCTAAGAATAAGTACCAGTTCGGAAGAAAGCGATAACGACTTCTTTACTGATGGTCTGGACATTGAATCAAAGGATGATGATGTTATAGACCAAAATACTCGACCGACATCAGCTGAATGGAAATGTGAAAGAATATTGCGATCGCCTTTCCCGTTTTTATCTCAATCTAGACTTACATTTGAAGGACCTGAAGAAAAGGATTGCCTTTTTATTTTGAGAA